TGTGATATTTGCCTGATTGGTTTGGAGTAAGTGGATTGTTACTTGTGATTTACTGATTAAAACCAAACAAACTACCAGTAAAATTTAAACAATTGCAAAGCACAAATTATTATCCTCATCAATAAATACACCAACCAAAAATAATTACTGACTACCTTATATATATGTTAGTAGTAGATTTATGTCTTTAATTCAATAAGAGTTCAAAATTACTTGGGTTGATATCATAAACATCTTGAAGCCAGCGCTCCACTTAGTCTCTAGAGTGAGCACTCGAAATGATTTCTCAAACTAATCATAGCTGTCAATGTTCTGCAAAATGCATTATTATAATTATGGTGCTACATACCATGACCTCAGCACCTTTATCATTACTTGGTTTGTTATCCTTCGAGTACCCAGCCATCCATGCCTCCAAGCGAGTTGCAGGAACTCCATTCTTCTTATTAGTTTCCTACAATTACACTTAAAATTAAGTAACAAAATCAAAATATACAATTTCAATTTGAAATATAAAGAAACTATATACCTCTACTAGAACAACTGAGAATGGTTTTCTGCCAGTTATGTGATTTAATGTCTTCTTCTTCCAAATTTCTTTGTTTTTTATACTTTTTTTCTGTTACATATGAACACAAACACAAGATAATTTATTAATTTAACAAACTCATCTTATGAGATTACGATAGAGATCAATAAACAATTTAAATGATACCTGTGCCTTCCGAGTGCCCCAATAATAGACTAAGCTTCGCCATTGATGCTCATGTACTCTTTCGGGTCGATGAGTTAACCTATCAACATCGTTGTCGATTGGCGTATACCCTATTTGTTTAACTCTAGCCTTCCACTCTCTCCATTTTTTTCCAACAGATGCCAAAACAAATTTCTTCATTGACTCATCGGCATCTGTATTGACCTGCAAATAATTGGCAACTTTGTCACTATTGCATACACACAACAGTAAGCCCACAGCAGTAGCTAACAGACCAGTATTTTTTTAAGTCACTTTACAACAACATACACACAGCAGCAACCTGGCCAGCAAAATAAAGCTTCTCAATCCTGTGGGATGCATGCAACCAAGGAAAATAAGGCTCCATATGTGCCTATATGATCAGTTCTAAAAACCCTATACTATCAATCCTAGAATGCTAATCTCATCTGTCCAGTCCATCTAAACAAAGATGGCCTATGAGTTTCAATTTAAGCGAGGAGGAATCAATCTATACACATCCATTTCTTTCTCGCAAATTGCAATTCTGCAAAATACATTTGGACTCAGTATTTGGAAGCCTTGTCAAATCAGTTGATTGGAGGAATCTCAGTTAGCCTTTCCAGGAAATCAATGTGTATATCTCATGGAAACACCATAACCTTGCCAGTTATGGTTTCCCTTTTTGGAGTCAAAAGGCTTGTCAGTTTGTGATGCCTCAAAGCATTTTTTGTTGCACATAAATTAATATAGGTTACTAAATGTAAACAAAAAGTGGGATTGCTCCCAAACCACAGGAGGTCAAAAATTTTATCCTCGTAAAGCACAAATAGTACTGAAAAGTTAAATGCGTAAAAGTAAACAATCCCTATTCACCTTCAAAAGAAGAACACAAAACCCAGCAGCACCAGTTGTCGAAGCCCATCCAACTGTTAATATATCATGTACCCAGTTTACATATTCTTGGTGGATGTATTTCTTTACCACAACTGGGGAATACTATGACTGAAGGCAGAAACAGTGACCAAAAGCAACTACTCGAAGTCATTTTACAAACATTACAATTCTACTGTCAAGAAAGTACATTTATTACCCATGTGAAGCTGCGCAATACCAGGAACTAAACATCATTCAAAAATCATTGTGAACTACCAAAAAATCATAAGCTAATAATGCCAACCTTGATTATTAAAAGAAATTTAGATGATAAAACAAAGCTATCATCTTATTCCATCTCATTTTCTTGTTTTAAACTTGGCCCAAGGAAAAATCAGAAAAGTGAATCAGTGGCTCTTATGATGATCGGACAAACAACACTATTTCCATGCATTTTAAAAGTGAATCCGTCATAGCACACATAGAATAAATAACTCAAGTGTTAACGAAAATAACATATAAATGTATATACAAATAACAATTTGCATCCTGGGGGAAAACAGACAACCAAAAATCATATCAATAATAGGCTCATAGCATTGCAACAGCCTAAGAGAAGTTTCAACAAGCTCTATCTCACAGCATGCTAAGCCTTTCACAACCATGCAAGCTCTTCATGAATGACAACTCAGGTGGACTCTAAACAGAGTTCCAAATCTTTTATTCAAGTTTTATCAAGCAACCACTAATCAGATGTAACACAAATACAGAAAATCCAGCCACATCTACCAGAATGCAATCAACAATATTTTAGCTAAGTAGTTATACCAAATAAATAAACAAAACCTTAAGAAACACTAGAGAAATTGAGAAAATAAGGCCCCTTAGAGCCACAATCCTCAAAAATGGCTCTAATCAAATCTTCCATTAGCAAGAGTTCTACAATAACATTTGATGACACCAACAGAGTATTTAGAAGCCCACAGCAGTACGTAACAGACCAGTATTCTTTTACCTTTACTTCTCTCCAAATTCTCTCTTTGTTTTCCTTCGATACATGGCTCCAAGTTCTATAAGTGAGGGGCATAAGGTTCCCATCTCGAGCTAAAACACCCAAACGAGAAGCCAAGGGTGTATACCCGTCAACCACATGGTTCAACTCATTAGGCACAATATGTAAAATGCCACCACTTGGGTTCCAATCACTAGCATGCATGAGTGTTGGGCCTCTCGAACTATGACCTACTCATCCAAATATGAATATCAAGTTAGAAGATACTAGAAAGAATGATAAAAATTGATAAGATACTTGGGTTCCAGGCACAAAACTGTCAAAGAAATTAATGTAATTGTCAACAAAACACCACATCATCGATAAATTATTCATTGTTGTCGCAAGAGGGTGACAAAGGAAGCTACTTATGCATGTGGACTATATCTTGCTGTTAGTTCATAACGTAGAAGCCTTTATGGTTTCCCTAGAGGACCCCTGACATACTTCATTGTCATTTATTGTAGTGGTCAAGATGCTGAAGTGGAGTTAGATGATGTCTGGTTTGCCTATCCCTTGTGACCAAACGATTTGGTGCTCAAGGTAACGATCTCTCCCTGACTTTTTTCAGATTGAACACACTATTTGGCTTTAAATTTGAGTGTTCTGATATAACCATGACTCATGAACAATGATAAAAACAACAACAATTCACATAAAAAAACGCTAGGAATATAACCCAAGCTCTACCTAATGCATAGAAGATCGAAGAGCAAACCAGAATGCAAAAACAAAATTAGAAAGTTCTTTGTATGATCTTCGAAAACTCTAAAAACAAGATCAACCACCTGCAAAACAGAATTAGAAGCCACAATCATAAAAAATAATTAGAAAGCAATGGTCCTGTTGGGGGGATCTGAATAGATTAGGTTCGTTGTGGCTGTTCTCTATAGTATGCTGTATTTTCCTCTTGTTCCAACCAAAACTCTGTGTCATTGGCCTTCTTTAATAAATGTACGTTTGGAGCTAGAACTATCATATCTCCATCTCCATTTTCTAAAATTACCTTCTTTACTATGGTCAACAATTTTGTTAGGATGTTGTTGAACCTCTAGATAAAAACCTTAGTGCAGGCCAATTTGCCTGAAATAGTTACAAGTTAACAATCTGTTGCTTTGCTTAGTTACAATACCATATACACAATTAAAAGAAGCAGCTCCTGGTTGTGGTTTTGATACATTTCTACTAAACATGTTTTATGCCATTGACCCGATTCTTGAAGTACGGATTTCACAGTAGAAATTGATGACATATTAGATGATTCAAATTTACTGTTAACATTATGCAAAGCTGGACTTTTAGTAACCACTTGATTGAAACCTTTGATCTGTGCTCTAATGAATTCCTTGTGAATTATTTTTTTTCCAAATTATCCCCTATATCTTGCTTGGACTATATTATATCATCTACTGATTCAAAGATTTTAATGAGACAGGCAAAAGTTGTATTATTTTCTGTTCCATAGCTATCAAAATGGCAAGTACACAGATAAACCATTTACAATTCTCTGGATAAATGAAAATTTGTTTCATTTTATTAAATAACTATAGCGAAACAGTTATGTAGTACACAGAAAAAAAGAACATTAATAGAGAAATCTAATGGAGTAATTCAATTGAATAAAATAATTCATACCAGCAATAGTGTCATGTGTTGAACCAGTACTCGATGATGTACTAGACAAGCTACCTGGAGGATACCATGACATGGGTGGCTCAGGTATGATGCGTGTACTCTCCTCTGAACTCTCATCGGAACTCCCACTATAAGAACTCTCATCTGCACTCCCACTATAAGAACTCTCAGAATTTGCAGAGGTTGAATGTTGCCTTTGCCTAGAGCATCGTCGATCTGTCATGCTAGTTTACAGAAGACCACAAGCATACGTGTAGAATTTTATGGGTTAGCAAGGACTATAAAGTACAATAGATACAATAGTGAATACAAAAACAATAGAATTTTAATACCTAACAAAATATGATATTGTAATTTTAACCAGTTCAACACCATTTTTGGCACAAAAGAATCTACTACATTAAGACTTTCCAAAATATTAAAAAATTTCTCTACAAATTTAAATTTTAAACACAATCTTAATATAACAGGTATGATCATTCTCAAGGACATAAAAGGTTGTCTCAAGGACAGTCATGTTAAAAAGAAAACAAATGACGCATTTTAAAAGCAAAGGTTTCATTAACATGAATATCCATGCTAAAAGCACACATGTAACAATGAATATGAAACAAAATTACAATTTCATATCGTTTCTTCATCATCTTCAGATTGTGTCTGTGTCGATATCCCAGGAGGTCCAATAGTTTCATCAATAGTTGTTCCAACTTCACCTTGTCTAACCTAATTTATATCCTCTTCACAAGCAAACGAAGTTGCATCTAACTCTTGGTCGGCAAATCCTTCCACTTCATTGTGATGTTCTCCATCATTAATTGGTTGTTCTCCACACACCTCATATAAGTCTCTAGGTTTCATCTTGACTACAACATCCCAATCAGCTCCAATGGGATCATTAACATAGAAAACTTGTTGTGCCTGAGATGCTAGGATGAATGGCTCATCGCTATTTTGTTTTTTTGTATATAACAAATGATTGAAATTAACAAGTGTGAAACCAAACCCATCCTGCTTCAGTCCTTTGTTGTTGTCAATCCAGTCACACATGAATAGCACATATCTACGATCGTATGAGTAATACAATTCAATAATATCTGTCATATATCCATAGTATGCTACTTCACCTTCCACAGGATTCATGTCTCTGGTACTTGTATAGCTACAAGTCTTTACTTTCACCATAACCCCACTATTTTGAGTTTTTCTTCTCCACTCACGACTCCTCGTATGATACCTAGTACCATTAATTATATACCCACTGAATCTCATGGCCTTTTTTCTAGGTCCCAATGCCAAAGTTTTAATCGCATCTGACAACACAGCATTTTGAATAGCTAGAAGCTCTTCAACCTATTTTTACAAAGTCAACAAAATTAAACATCAACTAATAGAGAATTAAAAATTGAAAACATGAGAATTGAAAATTAGAAACATGTAAGTTATTAGTACTCACATGAGAATTAAACCATCTGGGAAACTCATCATTGTGACGGCGATCCACATCAAAATCTTTGAGACAACGATGTGACCGCTTAATAAAATCACGATGCTCCCTATACATTTAAAGTGCTTATAAAATGCAAGATACTTATTAATGGTATCAATAAAATTTTGGAACAAAGATTGTATCTTACTCTCGATATGGGACAACCACAGCAGTGTTAAATAACACATACCGATGAGCTTGTACCCATGATGTGTTATCAAGCGCAAACCCTTTTCCTTTTCCTAAAGCATGACCCAGTAATATCCCAGGATTGTCGCTAACATCATAATTCCTTATTGGTCGATTCAATTTTGACTCGACATCATCCAAGTACCTTGAGCAAAAGCTTATACACTATTCAACTAAGTATCCCTCTGCAATTGAACCTTCTGGATGACTTCGATTACGCATATATGACTTAAGTGTCATAAGATACCTATAAACAAACAAATGCACACATGACTTTCAATTATAAACAAACAAATGAATACAACTGTAAATTAGAGTAGAATTGCACACCTTTCTATGAAGTACATCCAGCGGTATTGCAATGGACCGACAATCTTGGCCTCCTCTGCTAGGTGAATAGGCAAGTGCTCCATTATATCGAAAAAGGATGGAGGAAAAATTCTCTCAAGATGACAAAGTGTAAGAGCAATTTGGGATTGAAGACGATCTAACCCATATGGCTCTAGAGTTTTAGAGCACAACTGCCTGAAGAAATTGCTTAACTCAATCAATGGTTCAACAACTTTCTTCGGTAACAAATTTCTCACTGTTATTGGAAGTATCTGTTGCATCAATACATGGTTGTCATGACTTTTCAGTCCAGATATGCTATGTTGTTTAAGGTTAACACGACGAGAAATATTGGATGCATACCCATTTGGAACTTTGATATTCTTCAGGAGTACAAAACAAACCTCTATCTCTCTCTATTGTTCATAGCAAAACATGCAGGCGGCAAATAATACCTGTTCCCAACCCCTTTTTTAGGATGTAATGCCTTTCGAATTCCCACATCTTGCAAGTCTCGACGAGCATTTAAATTATCCCATCCTTTCCCATCAACATTTAATATCGTCCATAATACATTATCACACACATTCTTCTCAATGTGCATTACATCAAGATTGTGGCGAATCAAATTATTCTCCCAATATGGAAGCTCAAAGAAAATACTCCTCTTCCTCCAATTATGATCCTCCTCGTTGTCCTCTTTTTCCTTTCCTTTCCTAGTTCTTTTTTGTCTGTTAGTTGGTTGATATTTAGGCCGTAGCTGTCGTAGCACATTAGCCCCTGATAACCGAGTTGGACATGGTTCAAATTCAGAAGTTCTATCAAACGACGCACCATCTTTTCGAAATTTGTGACTCGCATTCAACCAGCGGCGATGCCCCATGTAACAAATTTTCCTTCCATTCTTTAAATACCGATGTCGAGTACGTATGTTACAACAAGGACAAGCTAAAGCGCTTTTCGTGCTCCATCCAGACAAATTTGCATATGCAGGAAAATCATTTATTGTCCACAGTAAGACCGCGTGCAATTGGAACATTTGATTAGTTTCTGCATTGTATGTCTGAACACCATTTTCCCACAATTCATTCAGTTCATCCACTAACAAGCGCAAATAGACATCAATGTTATTGCCATGTGAAGAAGGACCATCAATGAGCAATATCATCATTATATGAGGTTGTTTCATGCACAACCACGGTGGCAAATTATAAGGCATCACAATAATTGGCCACCTGCTGTGAGCAACTTTCATTGCCTTGAATGGATTAAATCCATCTGCTGCTAAACCTAGTTTGACGTTGCGAGGCTCACTCGCAAACTTGGGATACAAAGTATCAAAATTTTTCCAGATAGGAGAGTCAGCAGGATGTCTCATTTTGCCGTCATCAATTCGGCCCTTTGCATGCTATCTCATTAATGAGGCAGTTTTGGATGTCATGAACAATCTTTGAAGCCTTGGAATCAAAGGAAAGTATCTCACAATCTTCTGGGAAATTCTTTGTTGCTTTCTTTTTATAATCATTCTTCTCACCCTCAAACTGTTTGTATCTAGGCGTCTGACATACTATGCAATCATCCCTACTAGCTGTCTCCTTCCAATATAGTGAGCAATCTCTTGGGCATGCATGTACCTTGTGATAATCAAGGCCTAATTCCCTAAGGAGTTCCCTCGTTGCATAGAACGACTTTGGCAAAGTTTCACCTTTTGGAAATGCATCCTTCAAAAGTTTAAGCAACATCGTGAAAGACTTGTCGCTCCATCCACTAAGGCACTTGATATGCAATAATCGAACAACAAATGAGAGCATTGAAAACTTGTGACACTTTGGATACAACTCTCTTTCGGCCTCCTTCAATAAACTGAAAAATCTTTCAGTTTTCTTATCCGAGCCTAGTTCAATATTAGAACTTCCTGTCTCATTACTAGCAAGATGAACCAATCTTGGTGGAGGAAGTCTGAACCCCTCATATATCATTTCATTGACTTCATCGCCATCATTCGAATCACTAGCATTCTCATTCAATGGCACAGACGCCAATAAATCTTTCCTGTGAAAAATCTATCTGGTGTAGCTTGGAAGAAACCCATTGACCATTAAATGTTCCCCCAAAAGGTCTTTCTTTACTAGTTTGACATTCCGACACCGTTTACATGGACATGTGACTTCATTAGATAGAAGATTATTTTGGCATGCAAGTTTAACAAATTCCTTAACCCCTTCTATATATTCTGGATGCAACCTATACTGATTTATCCAACTTTTATCCATCTGACTTCGTCTTACACTACAAATATCACTGTCAAATCAACAAAGTTCAAAATTATCATTTCATTTTAATAATTCTTAACCTCAATTAAGTACTTTATAATGCATGCGACATGACACCATTCACCTCTAACTCTTCTCTAATAGGTTGGTTCATCTTACTTTCTCATTCAGGAATGCACAGTCTATATTGTAAAAAGTAGCTCATACCGCTCTATCCATCTCTAACGAAATTTCAGCTGCATCTCCCCATGGTTCTCCAAGTACACTACACAGACTGGGTGTATTGCTACACCTTGTCTAGTATGCACCCGGAGAACATGAGGAGCTACTACATGAAATCTCTACGAGATGGACTATATTTAAGCAGTAGAACTACTAATTACAACATAGACTTGTGCTCCTGAACTGTCCAAACTGGACAATCCAAGAAAAGCCTCATCAAAGATGACTAGGTATCTCTGATGAAGATTCTTGGACGGGTCTACGGCTATTCATGCATGCATGGATAATTACTTGCTAAATTAACAACTGTCATGATTTTTGCATCCCGGTGGTGCAACTTGAATCAACACTATCAAGCATACTAGAAGCATTTCTAGCATGAAGCATATTAATGAAGAAACTAAAAGTTTCTACAATGCTCTTGATAGATTATGATATAGAACTTCATCAAGATGACTGAGTATCTCTAATGAAGATTCTACAAGAACAACCAGATTATCCTGATTGATCACAAAGTAAAAAATTCCATGATTGTAATTGATAGCACATAACAATGGCAAGTACTAGATATTAGGTATGCTTCATTTAGTTTGTTCTTGTGCTCACAAGTAAGCAACAAGTTCTCACTACTACATGAACACCCACACATACCAATATATCTTAGTAGTGTTCTATTTCATTTGTATAGCACCATTTTTGTGTCCCTATCAAAGCCCAAAAAGAAAACTGTGCAGACGAGGGTAGATTTCAAATTACTTAACAAAAAATTATGATAAACATTAGAAATTCAAAATCATAATGTTACACAAAAAATATAAGCACAAAAAATATAGACCAAGCACACTTTCCAAATAGATAATTAATTGCAAACATCCAAATAATCTCATACATTGTCACTCTGAGATCATGAGACCATCTACAGTATAAGCTATCTAATCCCAAACTATCTTGCAAATCAATTACCACCCCCTCTCAAAAGTAATGAAAACAAACAAATCTACAAAATCTTAAATTAGAGAGTTAATTGATTTGAAAAACAAAGAAAGTAATAAAAAACAAACAAAACTACCAAAGAATTAATTGCTTTAAAAAATGTACCTGAGATGAAGAGCAAGAGAGATCGATCTGGTTCAACTATCTGTGAAAACAGTATATCAATTATCGTACCTCAAATAGAATATTTTGTAATACAAAAAATTAAATTAATTATGATCTAAAAAGCAGAATATTACTAGATAAGATGTAATAAAACACCAAAACAATGAAAAATGAAACTCTTTTAAGCCAATGCAGTGGTAAACATAACAGCTGTAAATGACGAAAGAGGCAATGAAGATTCTAATGAAAATTATAAGCACAAATTTTCTGTGAGCATCTAATGATGTTTTATTTCTTCATGAATATGTGACATTCATGAATTTACATACCCCTTATCTACCTCTATATCCTTCCCTGACCTGCTTTTGGGCCTCTCCCTTTTCCCAACGCCACCAAAATATTTACTTTTACTTCTCCCAGGGCTATACATTTCGTTTGAATATGTATCTTTATAACCCTTACTATCTTCCACTCCAATCTCAACAATCTCACTTCCTTGAAAGTCTTTTGATGAATCAAAACAAATTCTGTTAAAATCATTCGAAACTCTTCCAAATTTCTCTCTAGTTTCTTTTCTCAATCCTTTATCTGATTTCTCTCTTGTAATAAGATTATCCCCTTCGTAGCTACCTTTATAATGTTCTCACTCATCCTCATTTCACTTTCTTTTAACTACGGATGGGGCCCATGTTAAGCTTTTTTGGTTTGACCCCCTTTTTTAAGTTGTCTTTGTTTGTTTTTGATCTGTATTATCTGGGAGAATGGTGATCTCTATACAAATACATCCATATATATATATATATATACATATAAGATTGTACATTTTATATATAAGTAAATGCAAGAAAGGATGTATAATCTTCTTATCATGTATTTTAATAAACACAAGTTAACATATAACTCATATATTATGTACACATACATGTAAAGACATGTAATGAAGCAAGGAGAACAATCTTCTATTCCACAAAAGTGGTGGAGGATGAGACCCAGACCCACCCCAGCAGTAAACTTTAGAACAAAAAGGCTTTTAGAAGAAGAGAAGAGAGGTCCCCTCAACCCTTACCCTCACCCACCTGCCATGAAAAGCTCCATGATATATATATATATATAAATATATATGAAACAAACAGTAATACTTTACGCATTGATGTTCACGTCCTTCTCCTCCTCACAAAATACATACACATTAACAATAGATATATCTTCCTAAAGTTGGATTGGTTTCTTGTTATTGTGTTGTTCCCTCTCTAGTGCTCTTTCTCTGTCTCTGTCTCTCTCTATAAACCACGTCCTAATCAACTATTTTCTAAATTCAAAGAGTAGTAGTTCATTTATTTGTATACATACACCTTTCTTTTCCTAAAATAAGTATGAATCTGAAGTAGAAAAATTGAGGACAAAGATTCACATGAAAAGGAGGAGGAGGATGCCCATTCAGAATATTGTCTTGTGCTGCTTGTATTAATTGTTACAAGCAGGCTCAAGAACTGTCAGTCTGGAGTGTCTCTTGACCATTGCTTTCACTTTTCACGTCCTCATCGTCCATAATTATCTTCTAAATTTACATTAATTAGCACAAAAAAATTCTGCATTGCTGTCGTCTATTAATATTAGAATAACATTACTCAATGCATCGATCTAAAAACTGATTTGTCCACTCATTCTTAGAATTCTTATGTAAATTAACTCTTCTATACATTTATAGATTAGTTTAAGAGATAATTGGTAAAAATCAAAAGGACCTCAATTCTAATGCATGCTTTATTATGTGTCAACAATGCAAGATTCAGGACAAGAATGAAGCAGCTCTTAGAGATGAATACTTACAAACCAGGTTTGATCGATCTGGTTTAACGATCTGATCTGATTTGATCTAATCTGAAAATGAAAAAATTAGAGAGTAAATCAGTAGATTTGACAATGAGAAAGTAGACCAACAGAGATCGAACTGGTTCAAACACGAACACCGATTAAGAGAATGAAAATTGTACCTGAGATAAGAGCAACAGAGATCGATCTAGTTCGAGAATGATATCGATTTCGGACCTACGATTTGATGAAGAACAGATCGAGTTTGAGTTCAAGTTCGATGAAGAGACTGATCAAAGCTCTCCAGCGACAGATTGATGAAGAGCAATAGAGATTGAGAGATCGACGAATATATAATGCAAAATCTGTAATCGAGCGAGAGAAAGAGAGTGTGTGTGTATGTGTCTTTGATCTAGTTCGATGAATATCAGTCGAGGGCTTTGGAAGAGAGAGAGAGAGAAAGAGAGAGGGAGAGAGACCGAGCTACAGAAGAGACAGAGAAAAAATGAGAGACGAAGTATGGACGATGTCAATATATACACCCAATACGACGCCGTTCAACTGAGTTTTAAGACAACGTTTTGAAAACGTTGTCTTTCATCCATCTATAATGGCGTTTCCCAAAACGCCATAAAAGAAACGTTGCAATAGCCCATTTTTCCTGTAGTGCGTCGAAGTTGTACAACATGACTTCGCCATGGCCATTTTCAGTCTGGGGGATTGATGTGATCGGGGCTGTCACTCCGAAGGGGTCCAATGGGCATGAGTTCATTCTGGTCGCGATAAACTATTTTACAAAGTGGGTTGAGGCCCAATCTTATGCGGTGTTGAAGGCATCGCACATTACAAAGTTTATCAGGAACAGCATCATCTGTCACTACGGGGTCCCGAACGAGATCATTTCAAATAATGGTTCCCACTTCAAGACGGAAGTGATCGACTTGTTGGAGAAGTACAACGTGGCTTTTCATAA